AAGATTGCAGGGCGAATTTCCAGGATGCAAAAAATGGAATGTTATTGAAGGTGTTTTAACACTTCTTAAGGAACAGCGGAGATAGTGCAGTTGTTTTTGAGTGATTTTTGAGGGGTTTTGCAGTGGCAGCCAGTGCAGCAGCAGCAGCAACGCCGATCAGCTCGCGCAATTGTCAGCAGCGACGAGGATGAGGACGAGGAACAAAGTAAAAGGCGCTGTCCAGGAAATGAGATCGCATCGCTTCGCTCAAAAGGTTAACTTTTTGCCTCGAAATATTCCTACAGTCCTTCCATAATAATATTCATTTTTCGCCCGACATGTATTTTTTTTCTTGCTTTTTTTGGGCATCTCAATCCTCCGTTTTTCCCCGGCGTGATTTCCTATAATTTTTTATGCTTTGCTGGTGCGGTAAAAATTAGCGCTGCTCTCGTAAAAAGGGTCCAGGGTTCGATTCCGCCAATGGTGTTACCGGTCTCCATAGGACTCTTCCATTCGTCGTGATTACGAATCGATCCTGGTAAATGTTCGGAAGTCAAACTCGCCATCAGCTTGTTTCTAAGCAACCTTAATCAGAGACAACCTTGCCAGCGACTAGTTGCTGTAAGTTGAGCTATTTCCTAAGTGCCTTTGCTTCTCATCGAGAGCGAAAACCGAATAGATTTTGGCTTTCTGTACTTAATTTGCATCTGATTTTGGAAGCGCTTAAGCGTTTCTCCGGGTACTTTTCGCGAAGAACGGCAATTTCGTGCGTTCCCTGTTAAACGCTTGCGATTTCAGAAAGCGATGAGTTTGCTGCGGAAGCTGGAAGTTGCGCAATTTGCTTCGAAGCGTATACTACATCGGGTCCTCACCGGTAAGTTGCTTGCGCGTTCACTGCTACGATTGCATAAAGTGCTTGCCCAGATAGCTTATACTCAGCAAAGGGCGGGAATTGCGAATATATGAGAAGGCGAAAAATTCTGTCAAGTACTGCGAGGTTAGGCGTCGGGAAGGAATTAAGATTCAGTGGCTTCTGGATGTGGCTCCCTAGACTAGCACCTTTTCTCCGAGCACCGTCGATGCGAGTCGAGCACTGGAGCATCGTTACAAAAAGTTAAATAAATTGGGAGATTTTAGTAGTAGCACAACGTACAATTGTACAGTTGCACAAGGTACAACTGACGAGGTCCAGTTGTAGTAACGGTAAGAAATGTATACGACTTAATGGACCGAAACATTTCTTATCTATAACAAATATTTCTTTATACCCCTTACCTATTTTAATATGCTTTTCCTCCTTTTTCCTTTTTTTTCCTTAATTCCTTTTTCTCCTGATATTTTCTTTTTAACCTTTAATAAAGTATTGTTGAGCGGTAGCAGCAGTCATTCCTCCTTGGATCTTGTCGGTTCATGTTTCTCTTTTTCCTTTTTTTTTTTAAATAAAGCTATTTTTTCATGTGAAATGTCCCAACTATTAAAAAATTCATAGCAG